CACGCACAGCTCGGAGAAGCGTCTCCAGAACAGTTCTCCAATTAAGTTTTCTTTCACAGAACCAGGTCTGGTCCTATACTCAGCTATAAATCTGCTTTCCTGAACCTTAGTACCCAAGGGAGCGCACTACACACGAGGCATGCTTAGTGAAGACTGCATCGCAGCAGGTTCAAATACACTGTTTTCCATGCAATGTTTTCTTGCAGTCATTACCAACCTCTCTTCTCACTTTATTTTCATAAGTACTTTTAAGGGCAAGTAATCTGGGTGTGGAAACAGTTTAATATTACACATAGGCCCTCCTGAGTGAGTCAGAAGCAATGAAAACTTCAGTAGCAGCTGCTGGGATTGGCTTTACCACCCACATCACTTAGCGTGAAGATAACCGTAGTAAAAAGTGGAGAAAGCTTTATCACCAGTCCTACTGGATTAAGTTTCCAGTGGGAAGATCATCACTATGCTGATTTGCTACAGAGGGTTCTGCTTGGAAACTTGCAGCCTGTAAATGGGCAAGGTGATCGTATTTCTTTGCTATAACGAGCAACCTGCTTTCCGAAGGGGGAATAAAACGATCCCACATTTTTGTGCAGTATCAACTCAAGTAGACTGGATTATGTTACTAAGCATATACGCCACAGTGCAACTTACTGAGTGCTAAGAAGTGATGTCAATAGTAAGACAATGAACAAAACAAGACAGTGAGCAAGAGACACTAAGTTATCCAGACACTGATAAAACAACAAACATTTATCATGGTATCAAGTAAGTCTGAAAGGTTGTGACTGGTTCTGAATATTATACTGACACAATTTTTTTTAAATATTGTTACTTGAAGAAGGAAGGTGCTGTACTAGTAGTCAAATAAATCAATTTAGAAAAGAAAAAGCACAACAGCAAACACCTGAGGTGTGGTAACACACCTATCACTTAAAAATGGAACAAATTATATGGGATATCTATCAATAGGTGGCACCATACACAAAGCCCAAGAAAATGCCACAGCTGCCCCCACGCCAGCTAGGAAGACCACATGTATAAAGAGGTTAAATTAAGATTACAGAGCAACAGCACTTTGCTCTTCATACACTGCACAATTATTCTGGGTGACAGCAACAACCACCACAGCTTTTCCTACATGATGGCATCAAAGCAAAAAGACAAAAGTCTCAAGAGTACTGAGACCCCAGCATGAAAAACTTTAATAAATCTCTGTTCCTGTAATGTAAAGCTTTTATAAGACACGGTTTAGGATGTCAATACTCCCCAGCATATATTACATCAGTAAATTTCCAAAACCAAAGCTAGTCTATGCCCAGAAGACAGCACAATCCATCTTTACAAATTAAGGACTGAAAAAGATCTTATCAAAGTACCTATCAACTTCGCTTTCTCAAGAAAGCTGCATTACGATGCTATACATAACGAAACATTACTTAAGCAGAATTTCTCTAACCCTACAATTCCTTCTGGCACATACATGAAGTCGTCATCCCCCCATCCCCAACCAATAAAGCATCAGAGATTTCCCTGACAACATACCTGCTTCTAAAAACCACAGGAGATCAGATAACCCACGTGTTCAGTCCTGATTAATGATCGTAGCTGGAAAAAATGTGTGAGGAAACTGCCCTGTGAAAACAAATGAGCAAAGCATTACAGAAACATACAAAGCTGAAAACCAGAAAGACCCTTTATTCAATCTGCTTTGAATCACAGTCTGCCTTAGAACACAGTCTAGCCAAAATTCTGAAAACTAAAGGCTTGCCTGAGTTTGTAGACCCTTTTTATTTTTAAAGAGTAAGTTTTTTTAAAGGTCAGTTCCTTCTTCATCCACAAGATTTACACCCTGACCATACCAATGACATTCCCAATCACAAGAATGGAATGCATTCACGCTTTGCATTCTTTAAGAAGCTTTCAGGATAAAACTCAACTCCCTGGAAAACTCAATAAATGTCATGACATATAATTTCTCCTAGAAAAAAAAATAGCCATATCTTACCAAAGATTTGAGGAAAACTAGGGAGAAATGTAAAGCATGCTGATTTTGACCAAAATTATTGTTTTCAACTACGCATATGTTATCTGAATATAGCAATTATGAAGGCTGGCACTTGAGAGCTGGGCTGGAAAATCCTTTGTGCAGAATTTTTCAGACCAACCTCACCGTTCAGTCACCAACAGCTAACAGTTATAGACTTTTTTTTTTTTTTTAAGACTCGTGACATTTCTGAACATATTTCACAACTGACACTGGGTATCAGGGCATGGTAAAAATTTATTACTCTTCCATCCCATTAGCCTCTAAGACAAGCAGCTCCGTGTCACAAACAAAGTGACAGTTCAACCCTCTGTAATGTGCAATGAAATAGCAAGTGCCTGCTGCTCAGGACAGCATTCCAGCTAGAATCATGTAATTAATAGCGTAAGTTGCTGTACTTAATGAAGAGTTCCTGATCAAGGAACATACACATACCTACACCACTTGTGAATAAAGTCTGGGTGGAATATATGAAATGTACTTTTTTTTTTTTTTTTGGTGGTCAACAAGCAAAGGCAGATCTAGACAAACTCAACTTCTTTCACTGCTGTTGATCACCCCATGCAGATGTCATTACTAGCAGGGAAATAAGACAGGAGTAGCTAAAGCTACTCAACACACCAGGTTCATCTGAGAAATGCTGAATCCAAAACACCTGCTAGCTTCACCCATAGGTTCTCTACAGCATCTCTTACTAACAAGTGCTGGAAGTGGCTGAGCTTTATCAATGGCTTAAAAGAATCATTTCACCTCTCCAGAGGAGAGAAATTGCCTGCTTTGAAAGGATTATTTAAGCCATACCTCACTAATTAGTTCCCACTGTTCTTGCCCTCTAAATATGCAATGCAGTCCCAAGAAAGATTATCTACAGCACTGACAACAGGACCATTTGCAGGAACTAATTGCTGTTCTCATTTCTATGGACTTCAAAGACACACACTCACCACCACCACTGTACAAATACTCACCATGCAACTGTGTGAACGCCTTCCTAAAGAAAAGGATTAGAGCACGGCAAGTAACCATTTCTGAGATGCACTTCTGCCCTACCGACAGTAACAGCGTATTTATAGTTACCATTAAAATTCCCCACGCACACCCCAAATTGCAAGTAATAGGAATCTACACATTTATTACATTTAACACCAAATACAAATGGAAACAGAAAGATCAAATGTTTTTCTAACCTTATACATTCAGAGGAATTCAGCTGAGAACCCAAACAACCTTCACAGGCCATTTTCATGACCAACCAGAAGGCTTTATCATAGACAGTTTCCCATTCAAGCAAAAGTCCAGTCCCTCCACAAGCCAGCAGCAGCACTCAAAACACACTCTCTTTGCCCGATCCACCTGGCTGCCCCCACCTGAACTCACCTCACCACTGGCACAGCAAATACAGGGGTAGAACATCAAGCTTGCACACCAGAACTTGAGAACTTCTCTGCTAAACCATAGGGCACATCATCTGAATAACAAGCACCTCTATTGCTAAAGGCTCCAAAAACGTCTGGAGTAAATAAATAAAATGAAAATATCAGGTTTCATTACTTTTTCTTAAAAGTATGAGAACCAAGTAAGACTAAAAGGCCTGGTGACCAGTCCAAAGCCACACAAAGGTTCTCCTACCAACCTGCTCCTATCTAGTCTAAACGGCAGCTCATACTTCCAACGTTTTCAACTACACATCAACATTTCCACATTCATCTCTAACGAACCCGAAGAAATAAGATCTAAAAATATTTTGCAACTGTGTATTTTGGGGGTGGGAGGGAAGAAGTGCAAAATACAAGAAAGAGTTTAGCAAGACAGCTGAGGAACAGCTGAATCGCTACTAGCACGAGTTCTGCTCACAATCTTGAGTCCCAACAGGCACATCCCTGTGGGCTACACAAAGACCCATCCCTGAAGCATTTTCCAGGTTAGGTAATTCTTTGC